CTGTATGCTAATTTCCATTCATGGGTTGTGTTGTATGCAGTGCATCCTAAGTGCATTTCAAATTAAGCTGCTTTACTGTATGTATTTGTTCTGTTTTGATTTATCTTATGATGATTGGATCTTGGAGTGTATGTCAAATACTTTGTTTCTGTTTTGATTTATCTTATGATGATTGGATCTTGGAGTGTATGTCAAATACTTTGTTTTTACTATATGTCTTTGAAAGAAGCTTTTCAAAGTTAAAATCTCTTGGAGTGTATGTCAAATACTTTGTTTTTACTATATGTCTTTGAAAGAAGCTTTTCAAAGTTAAAATCGATCAAATCTTACATTCGATCAACTATGTCAGAAGAAAGATTGAATGAATTAGTTATATTGTCAATTGAGAAAAATGTAGTGGAGAAACTTGATTATACAAGTGTAATTAATGATTTTGCATCTAAAAATGCAAGAAGAGCCTTTATAAAGTGATACTTCTATTGGTTCATTGATCTTGTTTTGGGAATGAGAGTGTTAGGGTGTGATTTGTAGGCCGTTAGCCAAGGTGGGTAGCTTAGGAGAACTACATTGTGTTTGATCATTGGAATTAGTTATAGCATTCATTGGTATATAGGAAGCCCTAAAGTTACATGGGTGCAACACTTTATTTTTTTAAAAAAAACTCCTGAATATAGGAGGGCCCCTTTAGGATTTTTGTTCAAGTTTTTGCTTAGGGCCCCCGAATGCTCAGGACCGGTCCTGATGCGAGTAAAACAATCCCTCTTCATTAATTGATCTCGGCCTTCTCAAATTCAGAAAACGATTTGTTTCTTCCTGTATCTGCTGGAATTCAAGAACGATTCTTGCCCTCTATTTTGTTGGAATTTGATGTAGATATTGGCCGATATAGAAGAGCCCAAGACCAATGATGACTTTGGACAGCATTCCACGTGGGATTCAAAGCAAGCAACGCGACAAAACCCCAAACAATAGGGGGAAGGGAATCTCCTTTAATAGTTTCTCTCTCTTTTATGGGGAGGAGCATAGCATCATCTCCTCACCAAACTTCCCAACATTCTTCCAATCATCACTTGCTGCAGTTACATCAGCCAGGGATTGGGAACCATAACCAAACACTGCCACTTGTATAACCCCACAACCCCCCAAAAAATTCCATACAGGATGTCCATCTTGCAATTTGTAAATAACAACGCAAACGATCAAGTATCAGTACAATCATCAACTTTAAAATCTCGTTACATACTCTTTTTCCCGTACAGAGGTACCTCTTTAGAGAGGAAGGGGTTCAAACATATCTTGGCATCAATCTTAAAAATGAATGATGACTAATTTCACGTATTCTTTCTACTAGTTTTTTACTATTTGCATAGACTTTAAATTGCGATTCCATATGATGCTTGTACGGATTTAAAATTTGACCTTTGACGTCCTTCTTCCTACTATAGAGAGGGTCCTCTATATGATTGTTTCCCCCTACACTTTGAAGGCCACTAGCGCAAACCAGAAACAAAAAATTGGCAGTCCCATCTCGATCTCCTTTAGCTTTTTTGTAGGAACACACTAGCATTTGCCATTGTCGACCTCCTACCCTTTGCCCCCTTGCAAAACCCTGCGCGCGCGTTTTGCTCTTATTTGGATACATGGAAGTGGGCTTCCCATGACCTTGTACCAAACCGATCATCAGCCACTGGCCGGAGATTTGTCAAACACTTATGACACCAAGGCATGAGTGACGATATACGTTGAAGATGAGAGTAGATGACTGTATCTTGGTGGTCCAATATATGTCACCTTTCCCCCGAGTGAAATGATGCTCATTTGTTTTTCATTAATAAGAATTTAACGAAACAATCAAAAGTAACAGCACAGAGATAACCTGCCCATGCTAGTCATCCTACCTCGAACTTGGTATTCTCCCGGACTCTTGATCGCATTACTACCAATCGACCACGGTTCTCATCCAGTCGTCGAATCAATACACTGCTAGTAATGCACGTTCGATACATTAAAGAATAGCTAGTAGTCGCATTATTGAAAATTCTATTCATGCATTCTTTTGAAAGAAACCAAGATATTACTGCATGCGCAAAGAATACCCCAAAACTTCCATATTCCTTAAGCACTTGTTTTTGAGACTTATTTTATAATCAGATACTAGATTTTGTTACTTTTGTACATGGAGGTAGGCCCCAACCGAAATACTTGTTTTCTGATCTCGACAATTCATATTGCATTGTGTCAACCTGAATAGCTCCCAATCAAAAGTTCTCTTTTCCCATTTGTAAACCACAAGGATACCCACCAAGATTTCTTACGTCATGATGGATATTTTCTCTGAAATAAGCAGATCTCCTAAGATTTATTAGCCTCAATGCCAAAAAATTATGTCTTTCAAGAACTGAATATATTCCTTAAGGATGCTGAACAGGTTCAGTGTTACAGTAATCATAATGTGCATCACAACCCCAATCAAGTTGAGAATCTGATGACTTCTCCCTTTGATTCACACTGTTTCTGCTTTCCTCAACCTTAATTATATATACTTTGGAGAATGTCATGCCTAGAATCTAGTTGCTACTGATTTTCCATCAAGAATATAGTTTTATTCCTCATGAATAGGCAAAATGTTTGCATGCCGAATCTTACTTTTAGCTCTTCTGAGTCTTGGACAGTTATTCGATATCTTATGTCGTACAAATTGCCACCTCTATAAGAATTATAAATCTTTTTGCTAAAGAGAACTTTACTTTTCATTGCTTCAACTGATCAAGTAGCTGATGAAGTAATCCATCTTCTAATGTGGCCAGGGAATCTCTTTACACAAAAATGCTCTTAGCTTAGATATTTTTAACTATTTATGGCTCTTAATGATCAATAAGATAAGGATTAGATGTATCAGGTGTTAAATTGCCATGACTCACATTGATTCGGATTAGAACCTGATTGTAGATAGATCGTATAAAAGGAAACTAATGTATATAATATGGAGCATAGTTTATGTTTCTTTAATTGATTCTAGTGTATTTAGTCCCAAAAATCAAGAGTTAGAGTGTAGATTATAAAAGCCACACATTGAGGTAAAGGAACTTCTAGGCTAACCAAAAAAAAAAAAAAGTAAAGCTTCTTCTAGACTTCCCTAAATATGGATCACATGAGGCAGAACTAGAATATTTTTGATAATTTAACACACATCTCATAACAGAAATCTCATATTTCAGCTTTCGGGAATCTGATAACAATTCTCAAAGAGAGCACAAAAATTCCGCCACTAAGCTCAAGATGTTACAATTACTCGTTAAAACACTCGGTAACATGAAAAAGGTTCGTCAGCCAATAAACTCATAAGTGGAGAATGATGAGCTACTGACATGATACTAAAGGGTTCACTAATTAGATATGGATCCCACAAAAGATTTCTAATAGCTATTATGTTGGATTCAAGCTGATGTAATATTAGTTACATTTCCAGCTTTGTGTCGTTTTTTAATTCAGGTTATGCATGTAATGGTTCTTTTTCTTTCGGTTCTTTTCTCCTGACAAAACTGCTTTTATTTGAACATAATGGAATGTTGTAGCAATTTCTATTAGCGGGCATGATTGAATTGATATTACAGGTTGATATTACAGGTGATATACGTCTTGTGCCCTAAAGAGTTTGTCGACAAAAACATGCATTTTTCTAAGTGGAGGTATCATCATTGGTTTGTTTTCTTAACTGTTGCTGATGTGTGGCAAAGATATCTCGTATATAGATTCATATTTGTGAGAATCAGATGGTGTACAAGATATGGAACACTACTCTCTTTGGCTCGTATTCCTGTTTTACATTGTGTATAACCATGAATGTATAATTTATATATTAAGGAGTTGTGCAAAATTAAAATAATGAGCTATTAATGGAGAGAAATTGGGATTCAATCCCAACTTTTTGGCAGAAAACTGTTCCATAACCAGAATCAGGATAAAGAAGTATTCAGGGATCTAGTTTTCCCTAATAAGGTAAAATAATGACAATACGATCTCTAGAACATTGACACGTATAACCTGTTATAAGATTAGAAAAAAGATGAGACCTCAGACAGTTGATTAATCTGATCACATTAGCTTGCTCAAATAAACAGTGTATGATATTAATTATTCCGTCACTTAAAAACCATGGTTTTTTTAATTATAAAAAATACCATGGTTTTTTTTAATTAGCTAAAAAAACATAGTTTTTTTAGCTTTTCATGCCTTTCTAGTACATTGTCCATCCTCCCGCCTATTTTTTCCCTCCCTGAACAACTTCGTAAGACTTTGTTTTACTGATTATCATTCTTCATATCAGAACTATATATACAACAAGTTGCAGTTTCCTTGAACTTCTATAATACTGAACACATACAACTGAATTAAGTGCTGATATAAGATCGAAAACATAAGTGATGCAGGATATCTGCACATTTGAAAATCGTCCAGTTCTCAGAAGGACTTGGCGAATTTTGGTATAAATATTTTGTTAGGAAAGTATAACCTTATAGTTTTCTTGTATACCTCTTGTCATAAAGCTATCTTCATGTGAACATCGCTTGGAGTTTTGGTGTAGGGGAAGGCTCCTTTAACACAATTTTTCCTTTTCTCACTACAAAAAGTGTCGATCGGAGAAACAGTCCGGTAGCCGTGCCGCATCAAACATGACAGCCAACACGTGTGAACCACTTACACCCTCTTGAACCTCTCATTCTGCAGCATCAGAGCGCACCATTCTATTTCTTCCCTCCGTCTCTGAGCTAATTGGGTGCATCTCACATCCTTTACCACTATCCTAATGCTATTGGGCCCTCACCACTTGTATCTAAATTGGATAATACTAATACCCTTTGCAAATTATTACATCATTACAGAATATTCACTTGATACGCCCACTTGTTTAAAAATTTCAAGGATCACCCCCACAAAGTTCCACTCCAAATGAGTATAAATAGGAGACATGGGAGCAAGCCATTTCCTTAGGAGAACACCACAAGCAAAGCAAACTTGGGTTTCTTCCTCCTCTTCTTCTTCACTAGTTAAGCTCGAACAATGGAGAGCCAACTAGCTACAGGATGCTGTGGTGACCTCTTTCAACTGTGCAAGCCTTATATTGCGATGATTTCACTCCAATTCGGATATGCTGGCATGAACATAATCACCAAAGTGTCTCTAAACCGTGGAATGAGTCACTATGTGCTTGTTGTCTATAGACATGCTTTTGCTACCTTGTCTATTGCTCCCTTCGCTCTCATTCTTGAGAGGTAAAATATCGGATGACGAAATAAATATTTACTTTAAAAATGTTTTCCTCAAAATTTCTAACTTTATAATATGCTACCTTAACAGGAAAGTGCGTCCGAAGATAACATTCTCCCTTTTCATGCAAATATTCGTACTTGGCCTACTTGGGTTAGTAGACAAATATTTCTTTCGTGCATCATGTCGTTGATTTATAGAGAATATTAACTGAACAGAACTCGTTTAATCTTGCAGACCGGTGATAGACCAAAACTTCTACTACGCGGGGTTGAAGTTCACATCCCCTACCTTTTCTTGCGCCATGAGCAACATGTTGCCCGCTATGACTTTCATGATGGCTGTAATATTCAGGTAGATACAGGTTCTGCTCAAGCAGTATCATGATACATATTCAGCCTTGGTTGTGTATTATGGTTTCCTTCAGTTTCATGAATACATATAATTCTTGCAATTGTGAGTATAACATCAAAAAAAAAAAATTATGCTTTGAATTAGGATGGAGAAGATAAATCTCAAGAAGGTGATATACCAAACCAAGGTAGTAGGTACACTAGTGACAGTTGCCGGAGCAATGTTGATGACTCTCTACAAAGGACCTATTGTTGAAATGGTATGGAGCAAATACGTGCATCTTCATCAAAGCCCAGTGTCCACATCAAGTGAGTCAGCCAACAAGGACTGGTTCCTAGGCTCGATTTTCCTCATCATTGCTACTCTAGCTTGGGCTTCTCTCTTCATTCTTCAGGTACATTTACATACCACAAAATCAACATTATGATTAAAAAAATGTTGGTTTACTTATAGCATTTGCTATGTTTTATTGCAGACTCACACGTTGAAGTCATTCTCCTCTGCCCCTCTCTCCCTTACTACACTCATTTGCTTCATGGGCACTCTTCAAGCAATTGCAGTCACTCTTGTGATGGAGCACAAGCCATCGGCTTGGAAAGTTGGTTTAGATATGAATCTCCTTGCTGCTGCTTATGCTGTAAGTTATCTCTCTATCCTTCTTCAATAAGTTTTAATCTGTGTTGAATTCTGATAAGTTTCTATCTCTATGACAATGAACAGGGAATTGTGACATCAAGTATTGCCTACTATGTCCAAGGTCTTGTTATACAGCAAAGAGGGCCTGTATTTGCTTCAGCTTTTAGCCCTCTAATGATGATCATAGTAGCCATCATGGGCTCCTTCATTCTTGCCGAAAAAATCTATCTCGGAGGGTAAGTGACCAAAATTTGATCTTTTTGCTTGCTCAACTTTTTCATACTTAGAACCTACAAGCATTGAATCTACAAGCATGGGCTAAATCTCTTCTGCTTTCCAGTGTTCTAGGGTCTATATTGATTGTGGCTGGGCTCTACTCAGTGTTATGGGGAAAATACAGGGAGAACAAAGAGAAGAAAGAGGCAGAAAGAATGGTTCTGCCATTAGCAATGAAGGAAATCGAAGGCAATGGGCAATTTATAGATGTCATAGAAATAGATGATGTTCAACTAGAGAAGGCAAAGGCCAACCAGGGAATTATCAAAGTTCGTGCACCGATGCCCGAGGTTTCCATGAAAGCAGAGGAGAAGCCAGAGAGTAGGAACTAGCACGTTTTGAAGTCTGAAAAGAGGGATTGAGTGAGAAAGAGGAGAGGTTTTTTTTTTAGGTGGTTCATCTTAACCTTCTCCTTTTCTTTTTTTCTCCCTCTTTCTCATGTATTTGGTATATTCATATGTAATCTAGTGATATTTTTCCTATTTTGGTGGAATGAAAAGAAGTTTTATAACGTCTCCTAATCATGATATTCCTACTATCTGTGCTCATATAAATAATTATTGGGAAAAAACAAAAGGGAAAAGAAAATAATATCCATGAAATCTACAATGTCTAATTTGCAAGTTAATAACTGAACGCAGCCATATTTCCAATTATGCCTATTATACCTTCTTGATAATTGACATACAAATGAGAACCGAAGAATATGAAGAAAGCATGCTTTAAAAACTGTGTCACATAAACCAACACCTCTAAGAACTATCAAAGAATATAATCTGGTTAGATTAATCTCCAACATATCATCAAGAGGACAAGTTGTTCGATTGCAATAAACATGGAAGGAATTGCACACTACTTCAATATATTATTGATTCCTTTCATACTGTTGTTTTAAATTTCTGATATGCTATTCTTAGGTTCAGCTCCTAATGGATCATGACTCAAAACATATTCCTTGATAAGCATATCAGAAAAGCAAACAGCTGTACGTACAGAAGACATATAGTCAGTCGATGATATTTTTCCTATAATCTCCAACATAACCATTTTCCAATATTTGCATGTAATGCTTTTGCTAAACACTTACACGTCAGATTTTTCTATAATCTCCAATATTGTGGTTGTTTACCTCAGTTTATCTCAAATGAACCAGCTCCAGAATGAAGGCATACTTCTTATCAAAACTGGAGATCTTCATATCATATATTCATATTTTTCGACATCATATCTTGTATTTTTCTATAACCTATGAGCCTATTTATCGACAACATATTTCCCAATTAGCTGCATCATATGTTAAGCCAAAAACAACAGATGAATTGATTGCAATAAGGAAGGGTTGTTAGGGGACAATAATCAATGAAGCGTGCAATATCTACGTAGTTATCGATGTCTCCTATTGATACGGGATGAACACAATAAACATTTCCCACTTGAGGCAACGCCAGGCCTCCATGGAAATCAACTAAATGCATTATGATTAATATACAATGATTGTTTTCTTAACAGATTAAAAGACAGCAGAAGACAATAAATTTTTATACCAGAAGGCACAACATAGTTAAAAAAAATCTGCTCAACTGAAATTCTACATCAGTAAGCACTTAAGAAAATAAACTAAGCTCATTATTACTCTGAACTCAGCATCTCAACAAGTTATGTATGAGATTTTCATGGATTTTTTTATTTTTATTTTTATTTTTTTGCAATCTGGAGGGGGTTAAAGTAGATGGGATCAAGAAGATTCAGTTGGTTGGCAAGTGTGTTGGATTAGCAATAAGCATTCAACAAAAGAAAGTGGGAACCCCAATAATCCTCAAGGGGTCATGGTAATGACCAATGTTACCATATAATTGCATCAAGGCCATCGCCTTTGATGACATAAACCAATGCTTTTGGATCCATAGAATTGTATTCCAAAGGTAAAGGTTCTGCATTCTATTGAGCGTAACTTTTATTCCACTAGTATATGTACATATAATGTTTCCTTGTCTGAGTGGGAATGAATTGATAGGGGATCTGTGGGGTAATGTGGTCCTGGAAAGAAATTGGGAGTTACATAGACTTGAATTGGTACATAAATCTCATATGGATTAGAAATGAAGCCGTTCTCATCTGGAAGAATCAGTCTACTTCATTGACTTTGTGATTATTTATAATTTTGGTGATTGATTCCAGTGAAAACCTATGTCATTATAAAAAGTGCAGAGATTCTTCCATTTGTTAACACCGTGCACAGATCCTAATGAGAGGATACACCTAGCCTAACGGTTATAATGGAGGAATAAGTTAAAGAGTATCAGGGGGATACCCATTAAAGAAAACAGCAACCCCATGAAACACAGAAGTTACGGCTACAGTAGAATCCTCACCAATCTACTGTGCTAATATATTAGGAATTCTAGGCTTTACATTTTGGATATTTCTTCGGATAGATTGTGTTTAAGATGAGTATGCATCATGGATGGAATCTTATTTTATTTTTTACAAGATCAGCTGGTGAATCATCTGTTCACCTTCATGTTCAAGTTCTTCGCACAAGCAAGTCTCGTCTTTTTCAAATTTTATTTTACCAGTTCGTCTTTTTCATGTTAGTCTATGGAAATACTAGCTTCTATAGAGCTATGCCAAATGGTGCAAACTGAAGAAATGAGATCTTTGAGATCGCTACATTCCAGAAATGTTGCAATCAACATATCGACACACTGACATTATAAGTTGGAGCACTTTGTCAATAATCGTAAGCAATTGCTAGGATGTCTCTATCTCCCTCTCTCTTCTAGCCTGCACGATCACATGATGACGAAATGTACCTCTAACGTTCTCCCAAAATTTACTTTAATGTTACTGTAGCCTACGATATCGAAAAAATAGCTCATTTCATGAGCCAAGGCCAACCTAGAGCTAGCGAGCATCAAGTTTATATCACCTACAAGCAATGTCCCCAGACTGGCAATTTGAGGCTGGGAACTCCTTTCGGGCAGCTTTTATTGCTGTCAAAATGGGAATATAAACAAATTAAGGAGTTAGAAAATTCAGGCCTGATTGGGAGCAGTCGTGATATCACTGCCCTAGAAGATTAAGGACCCGTCTATCGCCCTGGCGCAGTTTGTCCTCTCTCCCCTAGCGGTAAAAACCCTCGGAATCGGCCGGCCTCTGCACTCGGGCGTGAGACACAGAGCTTATGCTCAGACGAAAACAGTTGCCCAGAAAATAGAATATGTAAATATGTAGCCGAAATCTTTTATTGGAGGTATAAGAGTAGAGAGAAGAGAGTGTAGAGATTTTCCTCTTCGTTGGTGGGTGATAAAAGGTGTAACCCCCGCTGAATCCAAGGGACCGTTACGCACGGTTATTGCTTCCGTTACCCGCATGCAGCCGTTACAAAATGTGTAATACGTGCAAAAATGAAGGCTTGAGAAGCAAAAAGGTGTGCGGCTGCGGCGCGGCGTGCGCGCGCGCGCGCGCGTGTGGTAGAACCACAAAGCCCACAAAACCCAAAACACTATTCAAAGCCCAATAAGAAGAGAACCATAATATACCCTTTACTATTCATCTCATTTTCCGATGTGGGACTATTCACAAAGGCAAAATTGCCTTTTCATGAATAAGTTTCCAACAGTCCCCCCCAAAAGGCAATATTGACTAAAAATAAATATAGGTTGGGCAACCTTTCGTATCGTGAATTCGGGAGAGGTAGCTTTCGGCTTTGAACCTTTCCTTAGTGAGTTTATCGCCACCTGAGGGACATAATGGACTAGGCCTTGAATTAAGCCCCTTGAATCAGGTATTGAAAAAAAACACACACAATACGTTTCATCTATTGAGCTAAGCGGGTTGAGCGTTAAAGGCCATGCTCACAAAAAACCGACTCATGAGAGTTTCTAGGGGTCAGCCCTGCCCCCCCCCAACCGCGACCATCACGGTTCCTCTCACGTAGGTAAGTCCTCAAAGGGTACTACAGCTGTTTATTTAATACCCCCCACAATACACGCGTTGGACTTATTAAGAGTAAAACTCAGCCTAGCCAGCTGTATCATAAGAGCATCGTCACCATAGAGAAGGGGTAGTAGCAAATGCTACATAATGATATATAAATATATCTAGGTCGATGCTCCACACGAGAGTCACTTGTCCAGCTTGTTTCTACCACATTGAACCGACATTGGGACTACGTCTCCAAATAAGGGTTGGGTTGCCGCTGTCAGTGACCTCATTTATGGGCTTAACCCCATCTCCCTCGATGAATCCAGAACCACACTCCTGGATAATCCCTTAGTCAAAGGGTCAGCAAGATTTTTCTCAGACTTTACAAAGTCCAAGATCACAACTTTGCCTAATAGGCGTTGTACAGACTTATATCTTATTTGAATATGTCTGTTATGTTTTTTATTTACATGTACTTGCTTTAGAAGCTCTATGGTAGATCTAGAATCAGAGTGAATGGAAATAGGAGGAGAGGGTTTAGGGACCAAAGGAAGTTCAGATAGAAGATCTTTTAACCATTCGGCTTCTGTGCAAGTAGTATCAAGAGCAATCAGCTCAGATTCCATGATGCTCCTGGCAATTATTGTTTGCTTACATGATTTCCAGGATACAGCAGCACCACCAAAAAGAAATACATATCCAGATGTAGACTTTACACTGTTGGAATCCGTGACCCAATTGGCGTCACTATACCCTTCTATAGCATCAGGGTAACCAGTGTAAGTCAAGCAATAGTCAATTGTGCCTTTTAGATATTTGAATACTCTTTCTAAGGCAGACCAATGATCTTTGCTAGGGTTGCTAGTATACCGACTCAGTCTCCCTACAGCATAAGCTATATCAGGTCTGGTTCGGTTGGATATGTAAAGAAGAGATCCAATCATCTGAGAATATTTTAGTTGGGAGACAGGTTCACCTTCATTCTTCTTCAAAGGTATAGAAGAATCATAAGGTGTGGAAACAGGTTTAGAGTTATGAAAGTTGAATTTGATTAGCATTTTATCAATGCTATGGGAAAGACTCAAAGATATTCCTCTAGTGTCTCTAGAGATTTTCATTCCAAGTATCATGTCTGCAAGACCTAAGTCTTTCATATCAAAATTTTTGGAAAGATAATCCTTAACCTTTGAAATTAATTCAAGTGTTGTTCCAAAGATAAGGATATCATCAACATAGAGACAGAGAATGACATAGTCATTGTTTATCACTTTAGAATAGACACATTTATCGTATTCATTCACAGTGAAGCCATATTGTGCAATGACGTTGTCAAATTTCTGGTGCCATTGTTTAGGAGCTTGTTTAAGACCATACAAAGATTTAACAAGCTTACAGACTTTGTTTTCCTGACCCTTGGCAATGAGGCCTTCAGGTTGGTGCATATAGATTTCTTCATCTAAATCACCATTCAGGAAAGCAGTCTTGACATCCATCTGATGTATGATAAGCTTATGGATAGCAGCAAAGGCTAGTAATACTCGGATAGTTGATATTCGGGCTACAGGAGAATATGTATCAAAATAATCAATGCCCTTTTGTTGAGTAAAGCCTTTAGCTACTAATCTAGCTTTAAATTTATCTATGGAACCATCAGCTCTGAGTTTCTTCTTGAATATCCACTTACAACCAATAGGTTTACAACCTGGAGGTAAGTCGGTGAGTATCCAAGTATGGTTTTCCATGATAGATTTAATTTCATTATCAATGGCTTCTTTCCAGAAAGGAGATTCAGGTGAATCCATTGCTTCTTGGAATGAGCTTGGATCACCTTCAACAAGAAAGGTAAGGAAGTCTTCTCCAAAATCCTTTTCGATTCTACCTCTTTTGCTTCTTCGAGGTTCAATATCAAGAGGTTGAGAAGAACTGGAAGATGGAAGATCAGAAGGAATGGATGATCTGGGATTTTCTGAGATTTTAGATTTGAAAGGAAAGATGTTTTCAAAGTAGACTGCATCTCTTGCTTCAATGATGGTATTGTTGGATATGTCACTAATTTCAGATTTGATGACTAGAAATCTGTTAACATTGCTATCTAGTGCATATCCAATAAAAGCAACATCTACAGTCTTAGAACCAATTTTTTTCTGGGGAATCCTATTGAGAATGAAGCAAGCAGAAAGAAGAGCTTCACCCCAGAGATTTTCAGGTGCTCCTGAACTGAGTAACATACAGTTCACCATGTCCATTAGGGTTCTATTCTTTCGTTCAGCTACCCCGTTAGACTGTGGTGTATAGGGAGCAGTAACCTCATGAATAATACCGTGTTCTTGGCAATATTCAGTCATATGATTTGAGGTATACTCCCCCCCACGATCAGATCTTAGAATCTTGATCTTCCTGTCAAGTTGGTTCTCAGATTCAGCTTTGAACACCTTAAACCTATCTAAGACTTCATCTTTAGTTTTGAGAAGATAGGTGTAACAATATCTGGAGTGATCGTCTATAAAAGTCACAAAATATCTCCTACCCCCTCGGGTGAGAACTCGGTTAGAGTCACACACATCACTATGAATTAATTCGAGGGGTTCAGAGTTTCTAGTTATAGACTTGAAGGGTTTTTTAGTGTGTTTCCCTTGAACACAGATTTCACATTTAGATGAGGGATCATGAGAAGATTTAGGAATGAGGTTTAATTTACTCATTCTCTGCAAGGTTTGGAAATTAACATGTCCAAGTCGTCCATGCCAAACATCACAAGACTCAACAATTTGAATAACAGAAGACTCAGAAATTTCATTAGAACTGGAATTGATTACATTGAGTTTGAAAAGGCCATTACAGATAAAACCTTTTCCTATGAAAACATTACTCTTTGTAATCACAAATTTATTGGATTCTTTTACAATCCTATAACCAGCTCTAAGAAGAAGAGATTCACTAATCAGATTGCGACGGAGAGAAGGAACATGATAAACGCCTTGCAGATGAAGAACTTTCCCAGAAGTCATGGTGAGCTCTATACGTCCACTTCCTATTATTGATTTAGTGGAGTCATCTGCTAAGCTTATGCTTCCTCCACGTGATTCCTGATAATTTGAAAACCAAGAGCGGTCATTACAGACGTGGATATTTGCTCCGGAATCCAAATACCAATCAGTGGAAGAAGTTAGAGAATTTACAAGATGAGATGAAGAGGCTAACCTGAAGGAGGTTGGATTCATTTCAATCATATTAACTTTGTTGGATCCATTTCCTTTAGGGGCAGGTTTGGCCGGTTCCTTCTTCCGAAAGAAACAGTTGTGAGCCATGTGGTTGGTTCTACCACAGACAAAGCAGAACTTCTCATCAGACTTATGGCTGGAAGAATTGGGATTTGGTTTGAAGGAGGATTTGTTGAAAGATTTGTTGAAAGATTGTTGATTTTTCTTGAATTTCTTCCCTTTGGGTTTGAAATTCTTAGATTTAGGCTTATCCTCTACCAAGTTTACTTTAGCTTTTGTTTCATTCTTGGTATTGGAATTTTGCCTATGCTGGTCTTCAATACGAATAGCCTTGAGGGCTTCAGTTAATGTTAAATCTCCTTGCTTGTGTCGGAGATCCCCAGCAAATCTAGACCAGGAGGGAGGAAGTTTATCAATCAAACAGGAAACTTTATAATCGTCAGTAAAAGTGTTTCCTTTTGATTGGAGATGACGGAGGAAATCTAGGAATTCATGAATTTGATCATTAATGGGCTTGTCATCAACCATTGTGAACTTATTGAAAGAGGAAGAGGTGAAGCGCAGAATTCCGGCATCATCATAGCCATATTCTGCTTCAAGAGCATTCCATAGTTCTTTTGCACTTTTGAACTCATAATATATGTCATAAAGGTTGTCCGCAAGTGCACTAAGAATCCTATGACAACAATGATAGTTGATTTCTTCTGGTTTCATAGAGCTAGAAAAGGAGCTAGCACCAGAACCAGAAGTGGAAGGAGCAGGTTGAGCAGGATCAGGAGTCAAAGGTTGAGAACCACTAGTAGATGACTCAGAAGTATCAATAGCAGATAAAAGACCTAATGTAGTGAGCCAGTATTTCATCTGATTAGCCCACCGTTTATAGTTAACACCGGTGAACTTCTCAGGTTTGACACTTTTTGAATGATCAGGAATTGCCATAAGTCCAATTTAAGTTTACTAGTTTAGGTAGATGTAATCTGATTGGGAAAGAATTTTATCAATATTACTAGACCAGAAACTTAATTAAACCTGCTCTTAACCAAAAACTCTAAAAGTGAAAAGATTAAAGTTTTACTCGGGTAGTTTGGCCAGGTAAGGATAGTACTAGAGGTTGATCAATGATCGATTAAGTACCTCGTTTCTTGCAGAGCGCTTTACGCAACCCTTAAACCTTTCCTTAGACACCAACTAATCCAAGAAAACTTGAACCGGTTCACTTAAAGATTTTTTGTTTATGACAGATACTGAATTTGAGCACAGAAGTAGCAAAGAAATAAATTTTTTTTAACTAATTTAGATGCAACAAGTTAAAACAATTAACTAATACAACAAGTAAGTAAAATATATGAAATTCGGGTGAACAGTAATCCCGATGAACAGTAAATTTTTTTTTTATTTTTTTTAAAATTTTTAAAACTAATTATCTTAACAGCAAGGATATATTTAATCTTCTAGAATGCTGTTAAAACGGGAATATAAACAAATTAAGGAGTTAGAAAATTCAGGCCTGATTGGGAGCAGTCGTGATATCACTGCCCTAGAAGATTAAGGACCCGCCTATCGCCCTGGCGCAGTTTGTCCTCTCTCCCCTAGCGGTAAAAACCCCCGGAATCGGCCGGCCTCTGCACTCGGGCGTGAGACACAGAGCTTATGCTCAGACGAAAACAGTTGCCCAGAAAATAGAATATGTAAATATGTAGCCGAAATCTTTTATTGGAGGTATAAGAGTAGAGAGAAGAGAGTGTAGAGATTTTCCTCTTCGTTGGTGTGTTTCTGAATGAGCTCCAAGCCTCCTTTTATAGGTGATAAAAGGTGTAACCCCCGCTGAATCCAAGGGACCGTTACGCACGGTTATTGCTTCCGTTACCCGCATGCAGCCGTTACAAAATGTGTAAAACGTGCAAAAATGAAGGCTTGAGAAGCAAAAAGGTGTGCGGCGCGGCGTGGCGCGGCGTGCGCGCGTGTGTGGTAGAACCACAAAGCCCACAAAACCCAAAACACTATTCAAAGCCCAATAAGGAGAGAACCATAATATACCCTTTACTATTCATCTCATTTTCCGATGTGGGACTATTCACAAAGGCAAAATTGTCTTTTCATGAACAAAACTTCCAACATTTATGACCACTGAATTGTGTTTCCATATGCTTATCCTTTTCTGTAGAAGTCTCATGCTAGTATATCCTACTTGACCCCCAAAAAGAACTGTCTGCAAACTTTTAATTTGAATACCTAGCTCTCACAATTTGATGATTTGAAAGTAACAGCAACATGAGAGGCGAAATGAAGCTAGATGATTAGCAAAAGAAAAAAAACACTAATAAAAGGTCTGCAAGAATCAATAATTATCCTGCATTTACAGAGCAAGGAAGAGAGATATTATGTTTAAGGTTTTAGTAACAGAATGAGCATTAATGACTTGCTACAGATTTCTAGCACAAAGTTCATAACAACTTTAAGAACCCAGTAAACCAATAAAGTTCCTCACAAGCTAAATGTTGTTTCATACTCATCAAAGAGGCTGAAGCCATGGAAGTATCAGACTGCCCACTGCCCATCAAGGGGGAAAACCCAAAGAATGGCAGGAATGTTCGAGAATTTACAAATCTAACAATCACTATGACTTGCAAGTTGCAAGAATAAGGAAGTCCTAAGGTATCAAAATAGTCAGTAAAACACCGCAACCATGCAAACTCATGCATCTTTGGGAAGAGATACGTAGTTTACTGGCATTATTGCACCAACTGCTTTACCTCTGTAATCCTTTTTGTCCTTGCCAGATGACATGAGTCCATGTCGAGGGAAAGGAGTTGAAACACGACGACTTGTTGGAGTTCCAGCTATTGTATTGGCACTCAAGCTCTGACCCAGAGGTTTCTTCGCAGGAAACGGCCTCATGGGACTTGGCTTTGCTCCATAGATAGCTTCCTGTTCTGCAACAAATTGCTCCTGAAGCCGTTTCTGCTCCTGCAAAGTATATCACAATGAAAATATTTAATGTAAATAATAATAAAGCAACATGGGTATGGTGCTAATTTCAGAATATATGAACTAAAATCCCACCCGTGATCTTTTTTTCTCTTCCTCCTTGTGCTGCCTAACCAGATTATATTCTTCCAAACTTCCAAGTAGTGGCTCCTGAAAACCAAAATAATAAAATTATAAGGTTTTAGTACTGGCTAGTTAATGGATTGGGCGAAAGCTGATTTTTTTGTACCTTTTTATACAAAAACTCCGTTCCTTTCTCACTCTCCCAAGCTTTGACTTTTGCAATCAGATTTTCTACCATAGCTGCAAGTTGGTAATCAAAGAAAAAACCGTCAACTAACAATCACAAAGTACCGCACATTTTTTTGAATTAAAAAAGACAAACTCCCTTCCTGTCACAATCTGAGAAGATACAAACACATCCATAGTCAATGCAAGAAAATGATTATTATCTTCCCAAGCCTTTCCCTATTTCCAGTATTAATGAAGTACACTTGGCATTCTATACCCAGTAATAACTACTATATAACCGCACAGACATAGAAGATAGGAGACTTGAATGTCCTTATTGCCTTATCCCAACAATTGCCAACAGGCGACATTATAGCATTGATACAATATCATACAAAATCATTGCCATGAGAAAACAGCCATTTTCACACTTAAAAAATGCAAAGCTCCACCTTTTTTCCTTTGACAGGATCTGACGAAGTAAATTTGTTGAATGGTGAAATGAATAGTATTAGTACGGAAAAATCCTTGAATTTCATGCAAATATTATGTGAGTTGCTCGAATAAAAATTTAAATATCATAAGAGTATTTTAAGATTTAGAACTGCAAAGCACATCAAGCCCTTTTTACAATTATTTACACTGAAGCAAGAATTAACTGGATTATCACTGATAAAGCAAAGGTTCAAACAGGAGTTTTGGGACATTATACAACAATATATTTAAAAAAACAAGACTTTTGTAGCCAGCCATGCTGGCCATCCCAAAAGCTGGCTTCTCACCTAGATATTTTAAAAGAAAATTGAGAAAGTGGCACTCGGTTGAATGTTCCTTATCCACAGTTCAAACCTCACATTACCTCTACTTTCCTAAAAAACCCACACATTCATTTCTCAAGAAATTAAGCATTTCCTAGCCTGCAATTCATTTACTTTAGAATGTACTTTAGACATTAGAAGCATATCTAGATTATCCTGGATCCATGGTAAGTCTATTCCAAAAGGATTGCATGAGCAAGATGAAAAAACAGAGCAATTTAATTGCTTTTTATATGTGATATGAAATGCAGGAGTATGTGGCATGTTAAATCATATTTAAGTATATGTTTGCTTCTGAAGAAAAGCAATAAAAGCTCACATGGCAGTTTGCTGACTAGTGCGCGGGCTTTCTCTGCACGCTTCAAATTCTTATGTGCACCTCGGCCAGCATTGTAGCGATTTTGATCCTGTTAAAATGTGCAAAAGGAGTTATCATAAAGGAAGTCTGTAGAATCTAGAATCAGGAAGTGTATATAACATTCCTAAGGCAATGAATAATATTGTATGCTTGATACAGTTGTATGAAGTTTTATCAAAGAAACTGGTTTTTTCAGTAGAGTACTTTAAATGTGCATTGGTTGCCTGGGCCTAAATGTGCAACAACATTATAAGTTCCCTTATGACTTGGTCATAGAGTTTTATGAAAAGAACCTCTCATGCCCATTATTTCTAAGCCTGTGAATCACACAACATCAAAAGTATTGGCACCATGATGATAGTAGGTGACAATGTATTTCATTCTTAAGCCCTCTCAATGTAAACATGTGATCATAATTATCCAGATTGAGATAGTTGGGGATTGTTTCTAACAACAATGTGCATGTGAATAAGCATAATGTAAACATGGTTAAGTTAGTAAAACCATCGTATTATTGAATGTTACCCTTTCATAGTCATCAAGCCAGCTCTCTTCCTCAGATGCAAATTCCCATTTGTCTACCTTTTCTAGAATCTCTCTCCTACTTAAAGCATGTTCTTTTGCTTTTGTAATCTGATCATCCATGCTCAAAAGAAGCTCCGAAAGATCAGCTTTCCCTGTGAACCCATTTACGGGAGAAATAGTTTCAAAATATAGTCAATATAAGGGATAAGCTAAACTGTCCCAAAACATTCAGCTAGATTTAAATAAAAGGGAAAACAAATTGGGTGGATATATAGTATTCATCAATAAAATGAAAAAAAAGCTGAAATGCTGGAAGAAGTCGAATAAAAATAAGAAATGGTGTTCCATTTGTAGGACATAGTTATCAAGAAAAACAAGTAAAGATAGAATGAGCATTTAAAGGTGAAATGGCAAATTAAGACTTAAGAGATCATGAGTTGCAATTGGTTAGGATGTGGTTATTCATATTGCCATAATGCAAGAAACTTACACTACAAGCATTGTAGTTTCAGAAACAGACATGTCCCCAGTAAGCTTGTTCCTAGCAATCTATATCGTAGAACATGAATATGTTCTTTTGCTATAGATATTCAATAGCACAAGACAAAAGTTTGCAGTTCTATGAAGTGAAAATATTTTTCAGTCAACTAGAAATGGAGGGAAAAAGACTCCCATGCAGTAGTGATGCTGATGTGTATCTCAGACTGCACTATGACTGGAAAAGAATAAACACAAAGAAAATATTAATCTTTTACACAGAATATATTCTAGGTTAAACATCAACTGAATTCCCTGAGTTTACATATATTCACAACTATCCTCTCTAAACTTTTTCACTAACATGTAATCACAGAGAGTTTATTGCTGAGATTGTTTGAAAGTATGAGGATTCTACTGAAATTAATCCTGTAACCTATGTTTTGGAAAATTATATCTGAAGA